TTTAAAACCACTTTTTCTGTGTGCGTGCTTTGGATGTGAGCACATGGGCGTATAAACATGATAGTCTATTTATTCATATCCAAAACGAGACGATGTCAAAGTTCCTTTAAGATTATTCTATAGTCTTTGACGATATGGACATTACTGAGCGCTGAACACTCTCATGCAGTGCATGTTTCGTTCATACTCGAAGCCGCTCTCACTCAGAAAGTCCAAAACGGCCCAGTATAGTAATAACTTATGACGTGCAGGAAATCCCTAATATGGACAAAGGCATCCTATTATTGCTGTAGCTAAAAAAAGGTCATTTCAGGTCATTTCGAGGTAATAAATATAGTATATGAATAACGCAGTGCTAATTGACATAACATTTAATACAGCATAGAAACTATTCTGCCTTATTATGTGTTTGTATAAACAATCCTAAAATTGTCATTAGGAAAATACAGAAAAAATATTATAGAATACAAATTATTGGTTATCATCCAGCAGTGTATTTGATTTCTTATCCAATTAAAATACATAAGAAAGAAATAAAGCCTGTCAATTAGACAATTTTTCCCCCATTTCTGTGTTTTCTCTGCTGCACACACATCCTTGTGTACGTGTTCTTTGGCCTGTTGATTTTTATTCATAGTATTCAGCTAACAAGGAAATATTTAGCAATAAGAGTTAGAATGAATGTGTAAGATTTTTAATTTTTAATTGATTTATTATTATTTTTTTTTTTTTACCTTATTGGAATCAAAATTAGGAATTGACAAGAATCTAAATAATTAAAATTCAAACGATGCCCAAACTTACCCATACACCACGTTATTTTTTACTGGCACATTTCAATTAACACTGTTTTAGACCCTTTCTTTTCTTTTAAACCCTCACTTACCCTTCTTTGCTTTTGCCCTTCTTAAAAACAACCACATAATCTTATACGTGAATGTACTTTTCAAAATGAGTTATAAAACAGTTGCTCCTGGCAACAGGGATAGGTAGCATGTTTGCTTAACTTAGCGTCAAACATGACAATTTATGAGACTAATATCAATGTTTTGCTCCAAAATCACTATATAACATCAGTCGTGTTAACAGTTAGCTTCTGTGGTTCCATGTTGCTTCTTTTCACAGTGAGACAGCTTGTATCACAGTAAAGATCTTTATAAAGAATATTTTCTATGTCAATTAGTGTTGCATTGCAATTGTGTGTTTATTGTCTTCCACGTTTCATCAGTCAAAGCGTCTCTATCTGCATGTTATTCAGCTGTAGTGATATCTGATGCATTTGTCCATATAAGGGATTTCCTGGCTCTGGCTTGTGAAACAGACATTACAGTACATGAGAGTTAGGGTTAGGGTTAACCCTGCTCCATAATGCTCACGTCGTTTCATTTTGGGTAAACATAGAAAAATAATACTAAAGTACTTTGTAACGCAGTAACTTGAGTAGTTTTTCTGCAAACTACTTTTTTACTCTTACTTGATTCATATTATTTTTCAGTACTTTTACTTGTACTCAAGTAAATCATTCCTTAAGTAGCAATACTTTTACTTAAGTACAATTTCTTAGTACTTTTCCACCACTGATCATGGATGTGTTGTAATGTCAGTCCAAAATTTCAGGTTGGCCTAGACCATAACAGCTTAGATGCAATAAAAGCCTTAAAGTGCTTGAACCCCGGTAATCGCTGCTTGCAGCTATATTTTATTCATTTATTTATTTAGCTAGCTAGCTATATAAACCCCCTTTGTCTTTGACTCATAATCAAAATGACACAGTTAAGCATCTATGTCTGTATATTCTAAAACAACTAATGCTAATTCACAAATGTTTATTTCTAATTCTAACATTATTCTGTTTGTTCATGAAAAATAACAGCAGATATCTAGAAACAGAATTTTTTTTTTTTAAAGAATTAATTAAAAAATGCCCATTTGTAAAAAAAAAATAACCCTCCGTCTGTCGACATCAATGAAAATGAGCTTTAAGTGTCCATTCACAGGAGATCTGAAGACATCAGCATAATAAATGAGGAGAAAACAGCAGCTATTGAGATGAAATAAAGAGTGTTTTCAGCAGCTCTGTTAATATTGATGAGCCTCAGACGATCAACACTCATTCAACAAGACATTCAGATCATCAGCAGATCATCTCTCTTTATTCTCAGTGTTTGCTGATAGAAACACAGTATTATAACAGTATTATCTTTCAGCAGAGCCTGCTTTTGTCATATATCCTGACTCAAATAATATCACAATTTGACATGAATGAAACATCAGCAATACAAAAACAAGCACTAATGACACTCATTTTCATCAGCCACTACAGGTTAATAACTACAGCATATGAATCTAAATATAGTCTGATTTTATAGTCTGACTACATTCCTTTCAATAATGAACTTCGATCAAAGACAAAGATCACAAAGCTAGCTTTTAAAGTAAAGCAGCACAAGGAATATATTGTTTCCTTTGTTAATATGTACTCATATTTATCTATTTAACATAGATTTAAAATGTCTCACGTGGCTCATTATAGGCTCAGCGTAAAGTATTTAGCAGTTTCTGTTCCAGTATATTTTAACAATGTAATGTAACACATTTGATCTGTCAAAGATGTCAGAAGAATAGAAATCAAATCACAGCAGCAACGCTTGATACCGATACCCATCAATTCCCCTCACACATCTCAAACTTTGACTTTTGATTTGACATTCAGTAGCAGTTCTCTCTTCAAACATTGAAACAGTCACACAAATAAACACACAAAAGCACTCAACATCGCTCAGGTCTGAATGAATTCATCATATTTTCCTCACATGCTCGCTGCAGCGGCACTAAATGATTATTTCAGTAGGAAGATGCCAGAAAAGATGCACAAGTATGAGAAAAATTGATGTGACGAGCCTATCTCTCTTGAGAAATCTATAATGCGATCCACAAAGTCAGCAAGTCTCCGGGGAATGATGGTATTACAGCAGAGTCTTATAAGACATCCTCTGAACTTTTAGCTCCGTTCCTTGCAGAAGTCTATGCAGAGAGTTTTCTGAGATCATCTCTTCCTTCTAGCTTGACACAAGGTGCGATTTCTCTGATCCAAAAAGATAAAAAGGATCCACTTCTTATTGAAATCTGGCATCTAATCTGTTTACTTAACACTGATTACAAACTTTTCACTCAAATTTGTGTCCAAAGATTACAGAAAGTTATGAGCTATTTAATCGACGAATCTCAGTCTGGCTTTAAAAGTAGCCACATTTATAATAATAATCTCAGATTAATTTTAGATACCCTTGACGATTCTGATTAGATTTGTTTTACTTCTACAAGGCATTCGACACAGTGGAGCATGCTTTTATTCTACATTGTCTTTGAAAATGTGTTTTTTGTTTTTTATAATGCCGTCAGGACTCTTTATGCTTACAGTAACTGCTCTCTGTAGGGTGGTTGTGTACACACACTGCCAACACACATTTCAGTTCAAACTACTTGTAAAAGTGCATGTAACATCATATGACCCCTTTAAATACACTTCAAGCTATTCTAACACACACACAAAACTGTTTCTTTTGGGAAAAGGGTTAAAGCTGAAGCAGAGTAAATAATAAAAGCATGAAATATGGCAGCATTTGATATTCGGCAAACCAGCTGATCAAAAGAAACATCAGTTTCTTTGTTTTAACACCTTTGTGAAAAGTAGTAGGTGATACTTGCACTTCTTGCCTGTTGAAAGAGTGCTGATGCAACTTGAGGCTTCAGTTGATCTTTGCTTAAATTGCACTGAGAGAGGACCAGTTTGAGGCAGAAGGTCTCTGATGATTAGAAAGACGAGGCCGCAGCCTGACGCAAACTTAGAGATCCTTCAAAGACTTCTAACTCTTCCTCATCTTCACATCAGGATTCTCAGAATCAGCCTGCAATCTTGTGATCAGTGATCTTTTAATAGCATCCATTAACACGCTAAAACTATTTTGAGAGTTGTCATGATTGAAATGTATTTATTGGCAATGCACAAGGTTTAGATTTAGTTAATGTTACTTTCATGTTTTTGTCTGTCCATGCAGAATATGTAGATTCAGTGGAAGTAAAACTACATCATCCCAAAACAGCATTTTGATACAATCTGATCATTTGTGATGCATAACATATTCAATTCGTTTAGTATAACATAAATCAGTTTTAGCTTTTTAGGGTGTGTTTACTTGAAAATGACTAAAAATGCTGTATTATGCTGCAGGACAGAAGCTGACAATGTCACTTTGGAAAGAAACACTACACACTTGTGCACATGCATTTTTATTTATTATTATTTTTTTTTACAGAGCACTTGTATAGCATAAACATGTAATATGCATGCACATGACATGATCATTTTCACACATTTCTTGCATTGAAGTTTACACGGAGACAATAGTGCTATTGTTTTGAAAAACCTGCACTTTAAAACATGTTAACGTGTCAGAAATGCATGCAGAACATTTAACAACAAAATCAAAAGTTATAGTATAGTTATAGGTAAGATTATATATAGATTATAGATTATAAATAAGCAGTAAAGTTGTAACTAAATACCGTGCCTTATCATTTAAATGAACTCATTCATTCCCCACCATTATGTCCCACCACCATAATTATATCATGATTTAGAGTTTTCCTCTCGGGACCTTAGTATTGATGCGTATTTTAGTTATTTTAATAATGTTTGTACAGAAATTTTAGATGAGATTGCACCCTTGAAATACAGGGAATCAAAAACTCAGTCACAGGATGAATAGTGAAATCCATATTTTTAGGCAAATTTGCAGAAGGGCTGAGTGAAAATGGAAGAATGATAGGCAACAAGTATCATTTGAAATTTTAAGAGAAACCTTGGCAAATTTTCAGTAAAGGCTCCAAACGCAAAATATTTTTCTAATATAATTAATAAAAATAAAAAAAGCCAAATATTTTATTTAGTACAATTAATAAAGTGATTTTTTTTTCTCTATTTTCCTTCCTATTAATTGCCTAGAGGCTAATCAAAAATGTTTTTTTTTGTAAATAACGTTGATAATCTTCTGTCACAGATTACTCCAGTAACAAATTTATGTTCAGAGTTAAATCATAGGAGTTCATTTAATAGTTTTGAACCTATTTATTTATCACAGTTGAAGCATGAATGCACACTAGAGCGGCAATTCTGATTCTGAAAAGGTAGTGATAGATCATTTTCAGTTTGCATTGGAGATTTGTGCATTGAGATTTAAGGTTTTGTTGATGGTTTTTAAAGAATTGCATGGCATTGCCCCAAAATATATTGTTGAACTATTGATTCCTTATCAAAATACAAGAAATATGAGATCTTCGAGTCAGATGATTCTTCATGTTCCTAAAACTGAACCCTCTTCTAATGCACATTAAATCTTCCCCATCTGTGGATGCTTTTATGTCTAGATTGAAATCACATCTTTTTAGTATAGCTTTTAGAATTGATTAGAGTGACTTAATTTTAGTGACTTTAATTTTAAAGTCTGACTGTATGTAATTGTTTTGTTGTATTAATGATGTTGGAAAGCACTTTGATCAAATGCAGTTGTTTTAAATGTGCTTTAGAAATAAAATTTGTATTTTATTGCTTTGTATTATATTTCATTTCTTGCCCATTTTTTCCTGAATGAAATCCTTTACATTATTGAACAGGACCATTGGATGATAGGATGCTTCTTTTTTTCTTGCTTCATGTTTGTAATCATTCCAATCATCTGGAAGCACTCCTCCTGTGCAAACCTTACTGATGATCTCTGCCTTCTCCCTGACTTCTCTTAAAGACTGAATGCGATCTTGAAATCCAGACTTAGCCTCTTGTTTCTCAGACTCAATCATCAGATCAATGTAGTCAGGGGTGGACAGAGGATTGGGTTTGAGGGCGATTTCCTGAAGCCGCTCCAAGGACTTTTGAGATCCCTCTATTAGTGCGGCCACAATATGCTGGACAACCTGAAACTCCTTTTCAAGCTCTTCGAAGATCTTTTCTTTTGACATGACCTGTCCATGTGCATCCTCAAATCGCTTTTTTAATTCCTGATAAGTTTCTTTTCTCTTTTCTGGGACATAATCCCATTTGTATTTCTGATTAAAGTGCACATTCCAGGCACACTTTCCAGGACAGACCTTACACTTTCCATCTTTCATGGCCCAGCACTTATATTTATCACTGTCATTTCCATACACACATGTGTCATGACATGTGAAGTGACAACTTTGGCAGTTGGTTAGGTAGTAGCTAGTGTTGTTTTCAATCTGTTTTGGGACAGTTACTTCTAATTCATATTCAAAATCCTTGTTTGCATCCATATCCGCCTTGTGCTGCTCCAAAGCAGCTGTGGTCTTCTTGATTTCATCCAGTTTTGTCAGATCAGCATTGATTTGGGGCTGGAGACCCTGCACCTGCACTTCTAGCTGCTGCCGCTCTTTTAAGACCTCCTGTGTGAGAGACAAGCTCTGGGTTTTCATCGTGTTAAGCGATGTGAAGAATTTCTTCATGCTGGAAAAACCCAACTTCCAGAACATTTGGTCAAAGTTTTCACAGTCAGACTCCTCATCATCTGCAGATGTGCTATTGGTAGCAAACAGAGCAGAGTTGTTGAACTTGAAGTGAAGAGGCTCTCCAGACTCATTGGTAGAGCAGGGCACCTCAGCGACTTTGATGGCCTCCAGAACAGGAGGTGTTTTCCCATCAGCAAAGGTGACCAGCACAATGATGTTTTGAGCAATGTCCTTCCCGAATATGGAAAGAATGGAGTCAAAGACATATTTCTGTGTGTGTGTTAGACGGGCAAGTGAAGCCTGTACTACAAAACACACAGCATCAATGCGGTCGATCCCTCCACGGGCAGAGAAGAACTCATGAATCTGCTTTGTGATTTTCTGGTCATGTGAAATTCCTCTGGTGTCACCAAAGCCTGGTGTATCCACAATGGTCAGAGAATATGGGACCCGGAAACCATCCATGTAATTAATTTGATATGCTGTGATCTCTGATGTCTGACTTTCAGCCTGGGATTTCTGATTCCCTTCATCTATTAGCACAAACCGGAAGTCGTCTTTCCATTGCACTCCCAGAATGTAGTTGATCATGCTGTTAATTAGAGTGGTTTTTCCTGCACCTGTGGCTCCGATCATCATAATGGTCTTGTTCTCTTTTGTGATGTTGTCCCCAAATGTGCTTCTTCTGCAGAATCCATCTCTGTTCTGCCATGTTTCTTCCAGATTGAGTTTAAACATGGGTAGATTTTCTTTGCTTCCACCATTGTCTATTTTTTTGCTCCAGTTCTTCTTTATATTATGTGCAACATTTAAGCCCTTTCCACGGTCTTTTCCCATGTTTTTGCTGCTTGTGTTTGCTCTTGACACTTTTTGATCGTTGTTAACAGCAGACTGGCACTGTCTAATTGTCTTTTTCTGACCTTTCTCCATTGTTGCTGGTTATAGGAAAAGGAAACAATTATTTGTATCTTCATGTACAACCCTGTGCAACATCATTAGAATGTCAAATGATTTTAAATTTTATCACTTGTCAATAATTGAATAATTTCTAACTTGACAGGTAGATATGGAAGAAAAATAATGACAAATGTCTTTGCAAAAAAGCATGTTGAATTGCACTAACTGAAAAAATAATGCATTGTATTAACAGTGTTTTCATTTTAATGACTTGGATTTTCAGGGCTTGTATTTTTAGGGGCTGAAATTTAACATAGTTGTTTATTTAAGCTGTGAATATTTAAATTCAAAACAATTCACACATATTTTCATAATTAAAAATTCAATAATGCATATTCACCCTCCAGAATTCAATTCCAAAATATTCAATCTGTTAAAAAATACGATGTATAATATTCGACAGGCAATTTTCGATCAATTTTATTTCACTTTACAAATTCGCTTCCACAAATTCAGTGGTTCAAATTCACCAGAAAATTCAGCATTGCACATCCGGGAGCTGCAGGAATAGCAGTAGAGCACCGATGCATGATCTCCAGCTGCTGTCAGCCGCTCACCAGCAGGTGGCGCAAGCGGCAGGTCATGAAGACCATAGCAACAGGTGGATCAAATCACTCATTCACAAAAACTAATTTGCAGAAATGGAGCAAGCGGTAAATAGACTATAGAGCCAGTATAAATATGCGGAAAAAATGATTGTGTTTACTGTAATTCAACATCATCTCCGTGTAGCCTATATTAGTTCTGAGTTCGATACATCGATGTATCGTCACAGAGATTTGACGATATGAGTACATTACTGCGGGACGTAGGGGTGCTGAGGGTGCTGCAGCACTCCTTGGAGTGTAGCCCACGAAAAAATGGGGGTGTGGTGTTAAACATAAATGAACAATATGTAATTTTATTTAATTTTATTAATTTGTATATTCATTAAAATTCATTGAAAAAAAGTAGCCTAAGCCTACAATGACAAAAAGCAACGGTTGGGTTAAGTTTAATCAAATTGACTGTGAAAGTCGTTTCAACTAATTCAACTTATTAAATTGACTTAAAAATCATTTGTTGCCATGGATGGCAACCAAACAGGATGTGCTTTCTGTTGTCTTGGTCTTGCGCAGGAGCGCTTCACCGACATGATAAATATATCTATAGAATGCTTTAATTACTATTTTAAAACGAAATAATTTAAATCGAAAAACAAAAACTCTTTCATTATGTAATCCCTAAAGTCTATGGCATCTGTCATTCTTTTGACTTTTTTTTAAAAACTCTGATTGATCGATTCATGAGACATTTGTTTGTATTAAGTTGTTCTGATTTTTTTCAACATGCATTCAAATATTCATGTTTATTTCGTGCTGCAAATATTAAAGAGGAAAATATCATTGTATCCGCGCTGTAACACAAATAAATGTAAGGTTTTTGGATTTTCCCCTTACTTTAAATGAATGCTTATGGCTTATTATTATTAATCGAGAAAAAAAAAACATAGGCTAAATAATAAAATAGTACAATGACAAATTCACCTATATTAAACTTTGAACTTTTATTAAAGTTTATTTTTATTTTTTATTTAAAATAAATTTTTTATTTAATTTTATTTACAAAATTAATAAGATTTTAATAAGACTTTACTGGAGTAGTTTTATTTTTAGTAACTTTTACTTTTACTTCACTACATTCCAAAGCATAAGATCGTACTTTTTACTTCACTACATTTCATAAAACATATCGTTACTCCTTATAATATATCACATGCTCCGTGATGCAGAAGCTGTGTCTGATTCAAGAACGAACTGATTCTTTTCAATGTATCCGTTAAATCGCTTCGCAAATCACACCAAACGATTCATTCACGAATTGGAAGGATCCGACTGCAGTTGTTCTCGAGTCGACAACTCACTGATTCAAATGAACCATTTAGTGCGAGTCTCCAGTGAACTGAATTCACAAGAACCGGGAGATATTGTGATCGTGCACGCATCTGATGCTGTTCAATTTTATGTTTAATTATTGTAACTGAAAATCATATTTAGGTCAAAGCTGTCAGTTGTTTGTGAACTAAATCTGCTGTAAAGGGTGATCTGTTTAAGCCCACTGAAATGATTGAATGCAGACACATCAACATCAGAGTCTCTATGTTTTAGGTTAAAAAACATTAAAATAACACAGATTAAATCAAATAACTCATGCACGTTCATCTTCCCCGCTGCTGTAACATTAGCAGTTTTACTAAAATGCTATGCATTTAGCCCTATGTGACGTCTGTTTTTATATTGTTTGTCAGCACACATAGCCTAAGTTACTATGTATCTAGCCGAGTAGACAAATATAAATGTTTATTCATAACCATGCTGAAAACAAGTCAATAATGTTAGCTGATGCTAACTGTTTAGCTAACGAGCTTGCTGGTGCTAAATTGAGCTAATTTTTTTTTAAATAAAGTCCGAATATTTTTATTCAACCACCTAGATAGATTAAATCTGAGGGAAAAAGAAAGGATGTGATGTTCAGAACATGGTAACTACAGTAATTATCACAGTGGGTAACTTAGTGATGCCCTCTGGGGGCATTTGGCCAGGGTATATATGAAGAAGTGAAGTGACTGAAGTGTACTTTCACTTGAGTAAAATTGAAAACTGAGTACCTTTACTTTTACTGGAGTTAATATTTTAGTATACGGATCTGTACTTTTACTCAAGTACTTGATTTGTGTACTTGCATCCACCACTGGTATCGATACAGCTGGCTCTGTATCGATATTGTGGCACGTGTGCAGCAGTGGACCGCGCTTAATTTGAATACAAGAACAATGCTTAAAACGGAGTATAAAAGTGCGAGGTTTCTAAAAAAATAATGAATATGTAACCGGAATGAGCTTGCTATGCCTTTAAGGGATAGGTGACGCGATAGGACAGGTGACGTTTAAAGTCTCGCGGGCTTCAATGAAATGGCGTTTGTTCTCGTTCTCCGCTTGATGAGCGAGTGTGTGTGGTTTGCTCTCCTGTATTGGCGCGTTGGAAGAATTGCTCGTGCGTGTGATTGCTGCTCTCGACAATTTAGCGATTATTTTCGTGCTGATGACCTGTTGATCCGAGAACGCGGTGTGCGTGTAACTCCGCGGGGTTTCAGCTACCTAAATGTGAGTACATGGCCAAGTTCATTGACAAGTGAAATTGATATGAAATGCGGTGCCATAAATTTAGGGTGTTATTTTAGGTTCGCTCTTGTGTTCATACTCTGCTGAGCTGCGAGTGTCCATTTGTACAGAATATACTACATTGCAACCCACTTCTGCCTTTGGTGAGACTGTTATATCCAGTCATCAAAGTGAGTCATAGCGCAATGTTGGAAGGTACGTGAGTATTTGGTTGTTTTAAGGTGAAATATGGGGGTTTTATGTCTAATAAATGTCAATTGGTTTTAATTGCAGGTTTTAAATCCTCTCTCGGATTTAGCGGCCACCGTTCCTTTCCCACTAAAATGAGATTTGTTTAGTAGTTGTGGTGTTTGCTCTAGATTTAGTTTATTGGGTTTTCATGGTATTATAACTTCTGTGATTTTATGATATTCATTACAATGTAATTTAATAGTTTAATTTAAGTTGGTTTACTTTATTTCAGTTTTGTATTTGCATCCTTTTTGGAACATTTCTGTCAACCTGGTTATTATTTTAATAATATTATCCATGGAAAAGGATTATATCGGTTATTCTAATAAAGTATTAACCTTTTGTACTCTGGTTTCTAGTTCATTTATTTGAACTACCGGTGTTAAAGATATCATTGTTAGGGTCCCTTACCCTAGAAAGTAGGGGTGGCATAGTAAATTTGGCCAACATTCCTAACAGCCATATATTTGAGGTCACAAATACAAAATATATAGGCTACAACAAGGGGTGCTTCTCAATATCCCTCCTCGTTTCCTCGCTCCTCTGTCCTCCATCTTATGACCCAGAAAACCGATCGAGCTCAGCAATCTTGAAGGACATCTCAATTCTCTAATTGCACCGTGAGGAGGCGAGGGTCGAGGAATGAGGAGGCTTCCTGAGGAGCTATGAGCGAGGATACACAGGTGTATCCTTTGCGGAAGTGTTTTTCATCGAAAAACCTGACGCACGTATAAATTCCTCCCTCTTCACATCTGTTGTAATCATTTTAATTGAATGAGCATTTATCGGCCGATACCGATATGGTGGCTGATATATCGTGCATCCCTATATTTTACCTTTGCAGTTTAATTAAACCATACATGTCATATATTTCAAACAGGGCATCTTTCTTTATTAATATTTATTATGAATGTCTTAAATAACAAACTTTAACAACATATGGGCAGATCCCTTTAGCGCAGCTGATGATGCTTTGAAGTGAATCATTAATCATTTTATTTCATCCATATATTTCTGAAAGCGTAGGAACTTTAAAAATTTTGTCTCTGAAAACCATGTCCTCTAATTAAAACTCTAATTCAGGGGTCCCCAAACTCGGTCCTGGAGGGCCGGTGTCCTGTAGAGTTTAGCTGCAACCCTAATCAAACACACCTGAAGCAGCTAATCAAGCTCTTATTAGGCATACTAGAAACTTCTAGGCAGGTGTGTTGAGGCAAGCTGGAGCTAAACTCTGCAGGACACCGGCCCTCCAGGACCGAGTTTGGGCACCCCTGCTCTAATTAGATAAAGGACCCCATTCATGGTTGTGTTACTGAAGCCCCCTGTGAAGCCCATCACATGTGCACATGGTACATTTCTGTCTCAGAATTGTTCAAATATTTAACTTTTTTGGAACCACTACAAAAGTGTCACGTTTTGTTGTCCTTTGGTGTTACACCCCTAAATTATATGCAGTTATGCAAATGTGTCTTACTAACCGCTAATGACAGGTTAGCTTGGAATAGCAAGGTCATTAATTGACACAAAAGGCTGAAACGTCCTGTGGTGTGACAGAAAATGTCCACCGGTGTGACGCCTGTACTGTCACACCACAGGACGAAGATGTCACACCAGAGGACAAGCTCTCTTTTAGAAGCATTTTAAATAATTAAATATGATTTGTTTAACTCCTTTTTATTCTTTTTTTTGTGTATCTTTTTCAGTATTCTTAAATGCAATAATTACATTAATGTAACTATTTTCTGATGTTTTTGCAGAAAACTTGTACTGTTATGAAGTGTCATGAAGATAAGTATAAAACGTGATACTATGTTTTTGAGACAGAAAGAATTGAGGGAGAGAAATTAGTGGACGAGAGAGGACACGGAAATATAGACAGAAAATTCCACCAGAAAGGAGGAGATCCTAAGAGAGCAATGCAGAAAATAAACAATAAAAATGATGCCTTAAAAAGAGTAGCCATATATATATATTTAAATGCATTCACATCTTAATGAATATAGTTTAAAAAACAATCATATTTATCTGTGTGGCACATGCAGTGGGGGGCTAGAAGAGTTTCAATAACCGATTGACTAAGAGACTGAATTTTGTTGATGATAAATAATTTTTGTTTTGTTTTGTTTAAAAAAAACATGTTGATATTGTTTGTATCAAAATGAAACTTTCTTTTTCCTTTGACATGTTCAAAATTAAATAGAAATAATTTAATAACTACCATTTCTGCCCTTTAGTGTAATGTAATGTCCTATGGTGTGACGTAATGTCTCATGGTGTGACACACATAAAAGAACCACAGATTTGTTTTTATCTCAAAACATCTTTAAAAAAAAGTTGAGTATTGCAATAGGGGAGATATAATCATCACTCATCTTACAATGGTTTAATTTTCAGCTGTTTTGAACAGTTTATAATGTCATATTAAATAAATAACACTATATGCAAATAAATGTCTAACTGTAATGTGGGGTTTGGTGTTTGGATTTTGTTTCATGTTCATGTCTTCCATGTCTTTTATTTTGTAATTGTTTCCTGCTGTTAGTGTCATGCTTCCCTTGCCTCATGTCTCTCTGCCTTGTGTATGTGTCATGTTCTGATTGGTTGTCTTAGTCATGTGTCTTGTTCCCCATTGGTTTGTTCTTGTCATGTGACCCTCTTGTCTGCTATAAGTAGCCCTCATGTTGCCATTGTCTTTTGTTGTGTATTGAAGTTGTAACCCGCTGTCGGTGAGTCTAGTCTGTTCATGCCTCGCCTAGTCTGTTTGGATTATGTTTGAATTTTGGATTTCACATTGTTTTGAATAAACTGCACTTGGGTTCTTCACTGCGCTCGCCTTCAGTGGACCAATTCGTTACAGAAACATTGAAGATAAATCTGTCATGCCATTTACATATTAAGAAATGTCTTATTTTTTGCTACATCACACCATAGGTCAAATTTATGGTACAGTTCAGTAAAAAAAAAAAAAAAAACATGAAAGAATTGATGAAGTTAGTGACCCTTTATATTTTCTCAAAGATCAGACTTCATGCTACATGTATGCTTTTCTTCTTCAAAAACTGTCTTTTACAAAATAAGCATTATTTGTCAGCTACCCGCATATATTATGCAGTTGATAATATATATGATCCATTGAATATCTGTTAGTTGCGAAGTAACATTAAAGATGGAATAATGTCTGACATAATTTATCATGTATCAACTATTTTTATATTCACTGCATAATGAAACTTGCTGAAACAACTGGAATCTGCAGTTCAAACATTTGGAATATTATCATGTTTTTAAAAGAAGTTGCTAATATTCACCGAGCCTACATTTATTTGATTAAGAATACAGTGGCAAACAGCAATGTTGTGAAATATTACTCAAATGTGAGAAATAACTGATAGTGTACTCACCTGGACAATGGCTTGTTTTTTTCTGTGATAGTGGCCAATGACTGTTTGTCTTGAAAAAAATAATGATTGAAAAACAAAGGTTTGAATATCAGTCAAATTGTTAAAATCACAATAAAATGTACATTGGTTTTTTTTGTGCATTTTTAATTATACTTTACAGTGTGGCCTTTGAATCTACTACCTGCTATACTAAAAATATACAAGACTTTTCTTAATAAATAATTTGTTAGGAAAAAACATTCCGATTGTTTTTTCTACTTCACTATATATGGTGTCATTCTTACTTTTTAGATTTGGACCTTTTTCATATTTTCATTATCACAGAATCAGATGTTTAAGGAGACCGCTTTACTCACTTTTGTTTCTGGTTTGCAGTTGAGTCCTGGGCCAGACTCTCGTCCACCGCAAGCTCTCCCTGTGGTCGACGGACTCCGTCCTCCTGTCCTGGGAACCGGCCTGTCATTATTCAAGTCCTGCCTCGTTCTCCTCATCCTGATCAGTCTCAGTCTGTAGCTCTTGGGCTTTTTGTCTGGTTGTCAGGAAGCTCTGCGTGCAGCGCTAGGATCTTCTGTAAACTGAAACCCAAGTTGCCTAAGTTTATATCTGCAACTACTGCAGATAAGCTTTTATTTTTATTATTTTCTCCAGCTTTTCTCTCAAATATTGCAAATCAAGTCCTAACACTTTTTCTCTTAATGGCTCATAAGGTTAAAAACTGTTAAGAAAAATATCCCTTTGTTAAATTAAAGCTTTTCCAAGCTACCTGCAATAGTTTGTAAATCTGTTTGTGTTATACTAAACAAAGATGAGTGTTATCCATATTGAAAGTAATTTAAGACTTTAAAAGTTTATATTCTGAGTATTTAAGGTAAAATGAAGACTAAACGACTTACTGTTATTTTGGTTTCCTCCTGAATGTGCTTGTCTTCTGTAGTTGCAGAAAGCCTCTGAATTGATTTTTATAATGTCCAACTGAAGCTCCTCCCCAGGAAAAAACAAACAAAAAAACTAAGCTTTCACTTTCCCTTTTTTTTCCAGTAACTGTAAGGCTTTATAAGAATCGGCCTGGCATCAGCAGACCACTTAAAAAAAAAAATATATATATATATATATATATATATATATAAAATCAATGTGTTGAAAAATTCTAACCAACCAAGGTTATCAAATGGCATCACAATTCAAATGATAAATTAATTAAATATATTGCTGTGTAAAAGATGATGATCACTTAAAGAAATATATAGAGAATTGCAACTAGGTGCATTTCGAATTGTATAGTAGAAGGAATGAATCTACTTGGCAAAATGTTTGTGTGTGTGTGTGTGTTCAATCCCCATTTGAAATATTCTTGTTCTTTTTTATAGAAATGTGCATATTTGTATTGGTTCTGAACAGGTTCCCTGGCCTTGGTTCCCAACCTTGTCAATTACATTATAATCCGTAAACTTGCTTGCTCTCTAACATTTAATCATCTTGTGTAAAAGTGTAGTAAATTACCTTTTAATATCAACTGGTAATGGTATGCCAATGTACCAGTGTAAAACTGTCCTGCAGGGTTTAGCTCCAAACTGAATCAAACTCTGTCTGAACTCTTCAGGATAGTAGCAGTGTTTCCACTGGAGGGCCAAAATCAAGCATTCTAGTGTGTGCCATGCATGGATGTATATGTGATGCTAAAGGCTACTTATGCTATCCTTTGCCATAAAAATACACATATGATCAAGGAAATACCAGAGACTTCTTGAAGAATGTAGACAAAATAATATAATTACGTATTTATTTGATTTCATTTTTCATCTGTCTCTTCCCTGTGCCTTTGTTGATACCGGCCTACTACATCTGTATATCATTAATGCCATAAATGACATATACTCCGGTTATTATAAAACTCCTGTTTTCTCTGTGTGAGTTCCCTCTGTTGCTCTGACTGAAAGGATAACAGTATAGTGAGATGGGAGAGATTGCTCAAACCTCTTCAGATTGCATAATTTTGTGGAAAATTGATAAAAAATACTCAGCATTTCTAAAGAAATGTGATGTAAACATATTTTATTAGTATTTTTCTAAATGTGTAAGTCTTTGGACTTATAAGCCTTAATGGAGTTGTTTATGGCATTCCGGTGATCACAAATAAATGGAAGCAGGTGCGACTAAACAAGTGTGTTATGTCTGCTCTTTTTTGAATCAGCATGATTAATGTGCACTCCAGACACAAATTAATAAATTATTGTCACACAACATTTTACATCTTTAAGTAATGACCAAAAGTCATGTTCATTTGGCAGTCTGGCTAGTTTTCAGTCAGCTACCTTCCCCATGCTGGTGATGTTGTTCTACAGATGGTGCTAACAGCTTCTGGTTCCCAGAATGTTCCCAGAACAGACATCCTACCATTCTCTGTTGATTAGACAGGAAATTTTCTTTACACAAATAGAATGTTCCCTGTTGGTTTGGAGAATGTTCGGAAGAGTGCGCCCACGCACGCATCGGCCGGAGCGAGAGCCCATCACCGCGCTTCATCCGGCAGCACTGCACGGGACTCGCTCGGGAAGAATGTCTCCAAAAAAGTGTGTTTTTTGTTGCAAGAGAAAGATAACCTTGTTCAGCTTCCCAAAGAACCCAGCGTTATGTAAACAGGGGATACAGTTTGTTTTTTCGGGGCAGCAGCTGAGTTTTGCAAGTGTGTTTGTTGACAAACGTTTTCTAAACAAGGCCCAGTTCGACGCTGGATTTGCACATGGTTTGATGGCTTGGCCACACGTCACGTCCTTTCCCTTTCTTTTAAGTTTGAAGTGATTATTCAGATTTTTTTTCCAAATAATAAATATATTTATTAATGAAAATAAATGAAAAAACAGTAAACGTGTTCTCTTTTTTTTATTTGTGTCTACTTAAATTCCATTTACAAATTCACCACACACAGTAATTGTCTATAACTGTAATTTATTGAAAGCCATTTGTCATAGAACATTGTGTTAGAATTTTACAGTCAAAAAACAAACAAAAACTATCTATTTTATCTTCAAATTCTGAAGTGAAAATATTGGTATATTATATCTTAGAAGGTTTCACTTGCACTCCTCTTTTCCTGTAAATGCAAGGCTTTATGAGAACCGGTTTCCTGTCAACAGGCTTTTCACTTCCACTTTCCTGATCGTGTAAATGGGAGGCTTTATATGAACTGGGTTATTACTAAAAAGGCTGTTAGATCAGTGTTCCCCCAACAGTACACATTTTTGATGTCTCCTTTATCTGACACAACCATTTCACCCCATTGGAATGTTATCACTCGGTTGAATGGGCGTTATCCAGTGGTGGATAAAGTAGCTGAAAGCCTTACTCAAGTAAAAGTACAGATATCTTACCAGAAAATGACTTTGGTAGAAGTTGAATGAAGCACCGTTTAGAATATTACTTGAGTAAAAGTCTTAAAGTATGTGATATTTATTGTACTTACGTATGAAAAGTATTTTTAAAATATTAAACGTACTTAAGTATTGAAAGTAAAAGTACAAGTAAATCCAAAATGGAAAAGAAGCAAATATTTATAAAGAAAAAGGTTCATGTTGAGCAGCAAGGTTGTGTTTAGTTTTAACTCTTTCTTCCATTCTGTATTTTTGGGTAAGAATAAGAAGCACTTCATCCTGTACTTAGTGTCTTTCATTCCAACATAAGAAAACGTTTCTGGAATCTGCATCTGAAGTGATATTTAGATGTATTTCCACAGTTCAGTGTAGGTCAGAGGGGACATGGATGCATTTAACCTGCAGTTACAGATGCATAAATAGGCCTAATGTTTTGTTTAAAAAAAACAACAAAAAAATAGTCGAAATGTGAAATTAAACTGCCAGTAGGTGGCAGCAAGTGACTGTTAATGAGTGAGTCATTGAGATTCAACTGATTCATTCAAACGACTGATTCATTCAGGAACAAAGCATTTGACTGTTAAGGAGTGAATCCCTGAATCATTTATTCAACCGATTTGTTCAAAAAGCTGATTCCTTCAATAAGTAAACACCGTCTATTGCTCAGAGGAGCAAAACAGTGCTGTGTGATCTTTGTTTGGAACTGTTTTCATTGGCAAAATTGAGCAAAAACCAGGCAATATTGTGTTTAAAATGTAAGTCGCTTAATGCTAACTTTATTTAAACTTGTATAAAAGGATTATTACATTTGTTATCATGCTGATATCTGGGGGAAAAACGGCACTCTGTGTGATATAGATTAAGTTAACTATATTATTATATAAATGTAAAAAGCATACAGAAATATTTTTGCCGTCTACAATTTAGAATGCCTTTGAATTTTGAGTTTTAATAAACTAATAAATCACGAGCGTGCACTCTGTGTGTGTGTGTGATTTGGTGATATACTCGATAATGTCAGATCGCACATCATTACAACAACACTCACCATATTATCGAAGATATACTGTATATCGCACACTCAAGCCTCGACTTTGACTGGAAAATGAAATCGACCGTGATTGTCTGAGCACTTGTTTGCACACGAGCAAAGGTGTTTAGTCTATCTTGCAAACGCCAGACCACTGATTTGTCAAACCTGCTTTCCTGCAGTCCGTGTTCTTCTGACTTTTTTTGTAGTAAGTAACGAATATGCTTTGGGGAAATGTATCGGAGTAAAAGTATACATTTAAATTAGGAAATGTAGTGGAGTAAAAGTGAAAGTTGGCTGAAATATTACAACTCAAGTAAAGTACAGATACTTCAAAAAAATACTTAAGTACTGTAACGAAGTATTATTACTTTGGTACATTACATCACTGGTGTTATCAGACCTCCATGAAGTTGGCCCCCCACCCAACGCCAAACGTTGGGAAAATAGTCTCAATCGTTTGTGCTGGTTTTTGCTGTAAACATTTTAGTTTTTAAGATATTAAAATAATATTTATAGGTCATTCTGAGGTCACTCAGCCCCCACATACTGCAAATTCACCCCAAATAGACTTGTTTGTTTGTGCTTCGTTTGAGCAGGTTTGTGTTGCTTCGGTTTTTAAAATATTAGACATTGAATTATAGATGATGACTTCACTCAGCCCCCCACATGCTCCAAATTCAAGAAAAAAATATCTTGTGTGTTTGTGCTTCGTTTGTGCTGGATTGTGCTGTAAAATATTAGCTTGTGCTGCTTCGGTTTTTAAGATATTAAAATAATGTTTCGTCCCCTTGGAATTATAAGGTTATATGTGGCAATTTTGTCAAAATTGAGTTATTCACATATTCTTATTCTGTGACAACTTATTTACATTTTGTGATAGATTTTTTAATGTTGTGTACATTTTGGGACTTTTTATTTGAAAAAAATAAATAAAATAAAAATCTATCTACACAGTCAAATGGAATGCAAAAACTTTGAAGCTCAAAATCTCCAAACTACTCGGAATGCAGATATAACCTCATAATTCCAAGGGGACGATATAATGTTCATTTTCTGAGGTCTCTCAGCCCCCCACCTGCTCCAAATTTACCCCAGACAGTCTTCTTTCTTTGTGCTTCGTTTGTGCTGGTTTGTGCCCATAAAAAACTGTTTGTGTTGCTTTGGTTTTTTTAGGTTAAAATAATATTTAATGATCATTCTGAGGTCACTCAGCCCAAGATCACCTCATGCTCCAAATTTACCCCCTATAGTCTCGTTTGTTAGTGCTTCAATTGTGCTGGTTTGGATGGAGCGAGGACTCAATAGTGCGGGAAGATAAGGGCTTTATTAATAAAATAAAACAAAACAGACAACAAAAACTACCCCGTGGGGGAAAAACAGGCTGGCAAGGCTAGGCAAGGCAGGATCTCGACACGACAGGACAGGACAGGACACATCCAGGGAGATATGGTGATGAACTGGCCCGGGACTGCAAACACAAGGAGAATAAATGGAGAGCAAATGAGGAGGGTAACGAGGGAACACATGTGGGGCAAATTAACCAATAATCAGGTAACAAGATGGGTGGGGTCAAGACAATTGACATGAGAGCACATGGCACAGAAAACAAAGACAAATGCCATGTGCTCACACAAAACAAAACACAAGCACATGGCCAGCAAAACAATCAC